TTTCTTGGTGTTGGCAGGTGGTGCATGTGTCTTGCAGCACCCTGGAGTTTCGCGGGCTGGCCGGCCTCCATATGGGCCGTGTCTGCGATGCAAACTCTGGCACAATATCCAGCTGTTGCAGTCACAACGTTTCATCAGTGCTTGTTTGGAATACAATGCCAAAGTCCCACGAGCCATTGCTGACCCGCGCTCGGGCAGCCTGTCCTACAACTCAAGCCTTTCAGCTGCCAGAAGGCACGCCAAGTTCTTACGACAGGGCTAGCTTCGGTGAAGCTTCGACAGCACGCTCCCTGAAAGGTCTCGCTGGGAGGGCGCCCCCACAGCTATCAGCCGGCCATCAAGGATCCAGTTTTGCCTCTATCGCGCGTGCGCGAAGCATGCAGAGCATTGCAGGACTCCCCATCAAGACGTATGCCGACACTAAACATGAGCAGCACGCCAAGTTCAACGGTCAGTTGCTGCTCGATATGCCATTGGTCATCGCCCTTGCGGAAGCCGGAGAAAGATTTTGATGGCCTGGAAGGGCACTGGGTGAAGGAGGCCAGAGCGATCGAGGGAGCCCCATAGCTCCAGCCAGTTGCAAGCCAGCCGCCCATCTGTGCCCCGTGCCCGCTTCAGGCTGTCAGTTCTTCAGTGCCAGGCGCACGGCTCACGTGATTTCCAAATCTACCATAGACTGGAAAAGCAGAGAAGGGGATGCTTGGCCATGGTGCGAACATTGCATCAGCGGAAGCTGTTGGGGCTAAGGAATTGTGACTGTCTCAAAATATGGAACTTTGATAAAATTGGTGGTTCTCCTTTTGTTCCCCATTTCGAATTACTCAATGAAGGGTGCCCTCAACCAAAGACAGGCCGCCAATTCTTCGACCGAACTGCGCTCACAACGCAACCGTTTTGGTCCCCCTGCACATGCAGAGAAGGTCTCACGGAGGTTCAACCGCCGGAAACGACGGAAGACCTGCGAGGCCGTGGCCGTTTTTGAGCAAAAAAACCAGTCGCCCATTTAAATACTTGTCAATATGGGAACCCCAAAATGGTGCTGTTTCCTTTGACTTCCCTTTCAGCCATGAAAAAGCTGCCAGAAAAACTCGCACACCCATTGACTTTTGGTAGAACCACCTACTCAAATGGCCAAGAGGAAGTGGAGCCGGCGCTCAATCGCTGGAACTGGTGCTGGACATCAATAGAACCCGCTGCAACAAATGTTCACAAAGTGAAAGGAACTTGCAAACGCTGGGAGCATTGCAACATAGAGGTCATTGCAGCGCTGTGCCAAGCTCAACCGCACCACACAAGTCAACAAAACACGTGTTTCGCGATTGTTCGAGTGGAAATACAAAGCAAAAAGCCCGCTCCAGCATGCGGCATGCGCCCATACATGTAGCAGCGCTTACGCGCACCTCCTCGCCGCTTGGGATGGAGGTGAAGTGCTGATGGCCCTAGCGTCTCGTTTTCGGTTCTGGGCTCAAGCCTGGAATGACTGCACTCCGTCGCCAGCGACTTTTGGCCCTTAAAACACCTGTGCCAAGTCCAGCCCGCCTTGTCAAGGTCCCAGTAAACAGACATCCGCCTTGCAACGATTGTCCTCGGGATACTCAAGGATGCAAGCAGCCTAACGTGATGTGACGTCAAGCTCGGGAATTGCACGGTACATATATACATATCTATATATATAAGGCTTGTTCGAATCTGCTTTAACAACCTGTTCATGTGGTTTGTTTAAGCCAGAGAAGTGGCCCTACCGCGCAGGGTCGCTCCTTTGTTACGCAGTTCTGCGACTCATTGTCGGATATCCGGGATGTCGGGCTTGGCAATGCGAGGCGCATGCCTCAAACTACCTGGCAAGTGCAAACCCGGCTGTACATCTGAGGCTTGCACTCTCAGTGACGCAGCATGCACTCAGCAGGTCTATGGAGATTGAGCGCATGCTGGGCCAGCAGTCTCTCTGCGGGATGGTTCAATGGCAAGCTACAGTTACTCGTAGTTGCGCGAAGGGGCGGGCCTGTTGACAGCAACTTGTGGCAACAGTGTCAGGAATAGCAACCATCCCGGCAAGAAGCCTCCACCAACCTGAACTGTTCCACTTCCAGCCCCTCTGCACAAATGGAGCAGAAGTGGCACTGCTCAGGCGGGGCTCCACAAAACTGGCTCTCATGCTCGTGGAAGCATGGTCATGGCTACAAGCTGGAGTTGCAAACTCCCAAGAACAAAAACAACAACGGCCATTTGCAGATGCATCTTTGAAACTCCCTGAGTGTGCCTGACGCTTCATCTGTGCGCAAGTGCCACCATACCGGCTGTACTGCCCGGTTTTGCCACTTGCTGTGAAACGAAGCCACATCATCATCGACAGCGCCGTCGATTCAGCTCCCTTGAAAGCCAGTCTAGGCCTCTGTGGAAGGTGTCAAGACCGCATGAAATAGATGGCGCAAGCTTCAAGCGCCGCCTCGACTTTCCAGCTTGAAACAAGAAGGCTGTCTAGAACAAGTTGATGTATATGAGTAGTTCATGCTGGGCGGTGATTGTTTCTGGCATTTGCATGGTCCTGGGCCACACGAAAGGTGGGTGCAACAGCTGAGCTCAAGACCCTCGTAGAGTCCTTCACCTTGCAAGTCACCAGGGGCCTGTTCTCAACAGTGATATGGGCATGTGCCAAAGTATGGCGACCTCCAAAGTTGAGATGTTCCTCGTGGTTTCCTTTTTAAACCTGAAAAGGCTACCTCAAAAAATCGCACATCCATAGCTGGGAAACCAACCCGATCTTGTCCCAGCCTGCAGTGGCCTGCGCTGAGAAAACCCGCCAGGGCCTGAGGGAGGTATTCCATTGATTCATGCTGCGCTTTGGCTCAAAATCGGAGATGCGACCCTCAAAGTGGTGAATATTTTGTGGTTTCCTTTCAAACAACCCCAAAATAGAGCTTGATCGACACAACCATGCACTGGGAAGGATGAGGCTCGCGCCGATTCTTGACCTTTGTCAACCCCAACTCTTCCGCCGCCTCCTCTGGTGAAAGTGCCTTGGGCAAGTCCTGGCAAATACCGGAAACAAACAGATTTTGATACGTATTGCAATCTCTTCCCCAGAATGAAAGGAATGAAATGCACCCTGTTCACAAATAGTTCTTCCAGACCCCAAATGTCCAACTAAATTAGAATTAGGCAATACTAAACCAAGTCTACACGCCCAGATTTCTCGCCAACCCCAACTCCGCTCTTCTCAGGGAACTTTCTTTTCAAGCGAACAAATCCAAAAAAGTGCCTCAGACGATTCTATTAATTTTCCTGCTACCCTATCTATAATTATTGTTCCGCACAGAGGGGGGGGGTTTCCGTATTTTGGGGAACGGTCTTTTGGTGGGGTGAAGAGATGATTCACTTTCTCAGTGTTGCATGACACGAGCCAATACGATTCTGCTCAATGTGTATTTGACTGCTTGCACCAGCCTTTGACACAGCTGCCTGCTTGCAACGTTGCAAGACAAAAATGGCCTCGTTATGGCTGAAGATGCGTGAGACGCGTAAAAATATGATTAACATCAACACTGCACTAAGCCAACACAGCCAACGCGCCATCTTTGCCAAAGAACGAGGCCGCGGGTGAGCATCGCTCGTTGTTCGCCGAGAGCCCTTTGGGCACTTTGTACAATGAGCATAAGGCCCGAGAGCGCAAAGCGCGCTCTGCCGCACCTCTCCAGGCCGCCCTTACCTGCACACGCATCTCTTGAGTCAAAGTGGGGGCCGTGAATCTGAAGAAAACCCGCAAGAATGAGGCATGAATATAATTGCAATGTCATACTCCCGCTGCCATGAGGCAGTGCTATTGCTGAAGCAGGGCTTGGCATGTGAGCCTGATGCATCTGAATACAGGGATGCTTCATGATGCCAACTCACAATCCAAAACACAAACACAACGCATTAAAGTGGAAGCACCCGCGCCTAGCCGCAAGGGACTGCTTCGAGAGCTCAGTCAGTTTTCTCGTTCTCGTCCGCAACATAAGCGATCCTTATGCACATGCTGCGAATGCCGCCTGGCCGCCTGGCCGCCTGGCCGCCTGGCCGCACTGCAACTGTCGCCTGCCTATTCGCGGCAAGGCGCTCTGTGTACAGGAAGTTGGAGATTTGCACCCCGCTGCGCAGATACACCCACTCGGAATAGACGTACTGCAGCGCCAGGGACCAAGACCCCACCTACGGGCACGCATATTCAAGCTTGAACTCGGTGCATGTGTTCCTGTGTTCCGTGTTCAAAGATTCAAAGGGCCGGGTTTGACACACCAGGTCACTTGCTCTTGGGCTGGATCCTTTCAGCCAGGGTGCACAAAAGCCTACCGTCAGCAGCCAGCCACGGAAGCACCGCAGGCTTGGCCTCCAGTGAATCCGAGAGCGGCGTGCAGCTCGTAGTCAATCCAAACGCATTGGCCATGTGAAGCCCTTTCAGACCATGCGCACAGGATTTTTGGAGCTCGGGGTGTTTAGGGGATGCTTTCTGGTCAGTGAACTTGCTCATTTCAGCTGCAGGCATGCATTGGTCCCAGCGTCGGAGTCACGCGGCGATCGAAGTGGTACACTAAGGCGCCCAAATGAGTCAAGGTGACATTGGCTGCGAGAAACGAGGCCCACAGAAGTCGCAACCTGCAGAGCAATAGTGACAAGAGGTTTCTGATTCAAGCAAAAGGCACAAACGACCGCAGAATCGGAAAATATCCCGCCATGCGTGTGGAGGTGCACGGTGCAGCACATCCATCTGGTCTACCAGCGCTACGGCACGAGCACCTGTGGGTCGCCGTCAGTTGGAAAAATGTGTGGGCTACATGTAGAAAAACCGCTGCACAGGCCATACAACCATGGACAGTCACATTCTACAAAAAGTCCAACAAACGCCTGGTTGCTGCAGACGCTTCAGCCGCTTGTAAGCAGCGTGGGCCAGTGCCAGGACGAGGGTTATGTGCGAGACCGCCATGGCTGGCAGCCAAGGGCTCCTCCTGGTGTTGCCCCACAACCTCACATCCAATCCAATGCCTTGCTAGTGCTCAGTAGGGAATGTGGGAATGAACCCAGAAGGCCCTTAAAGGAAACCACAAGGTATGGTTTATAAGGGTCATTCCCTCATTCCCTTCTGAGCAGCAGCAAGAATGGCAGATCAGGAGTCCAACGAGTCCAAAGGATTTAAGGATGTTGGGACAATTTTCTACAAGCTCCCATTTCTGGGACACTTCACAAAAGGAATCCAAAAGGCAATCAACCGGTGGGGTCAGCCGATGTTCGCAGAGCTGTGGAGCTCCAATAAACTGAGCCATGTGAAGTCGTCTGAGATTCGCTTTTTTGATCCTCGCGGACATTTCAGAAATACTCAAGTCAAGCCTATCTGAGGATGCGCGTGCACAAAACAGATGAGACACACACTATAAAGAGGCATACTCGTTCCTGTCATGACGTTGCCAAAGATTGCTGCGCGCTGCCGATTGCAAACGGACATATCCATTGCACAGCTTCAAGCTGCTTGAGCGATGAAACTCATGGTGGTGCGTGTTCAGCACAAACATGCGACACGCAGCTGCATACAACGAGCAGGCCTTCCGCCAAGAACGACCAAGGAGATGCAAACAATTCAGAAAATCCAGCAACTTGAAGCATCCAATTCGCTGTCAGACCGGACGCAAGCTGCACACTTAAAGGCGCACCGTTGCTGTGGGCAAGCCCATAAGGGTGCCACACGCACTTCAGCCCAGAGATTGGGCAGTGTAGCAGCACTCTCCTGTTTTTTTGCGCCTCGTCTCTGCTTTAAGTTTCAACAATTCAACAATGCCAAGTGTTTCAATTGGTTGGCACATTTCTACTGCAATAGCATTGATGTTCTATGGCCAGTGGCACTGTGCGGCTACGGCACCACGGCTGCAGCACAAAGTATCACAGGTGTCCATAAGCGTGTGACACCAGTCTGCAGCTTCGGGTGCTTCACGGACAGGGCATCTCTGGTTGGAAGTAAAACTCGGTACAAATCGCAGGATGTGTATTTCAGATCTTTCTGCAGCGCGCGCATGCTGTGGCGCCCGGAACAAACTGGAATTGCTAAGGACAATGACTGCGCGAGAACCTTTTTCAGGAATTGAGTCGGCTCGGTGACCCTTCAACGTTGGCACTGCTTGCCAGGATCCTGTTCACATACGTGTATGCATTTATCCGCCGACAACAGACGGCGTGTTGGACACAAAAAATGCTCCTTACCTCTTCACCTGTTACCCCTCCCCTAACCCCTCCCCAGGGGCACCATTTCAGACTATTGCGAGGGGGGGTCCACGTACCACGCGGTGATTCGAAGACGCTTCACTAAATCTGTTCATTGTGCGAAAACATTGGGGTGTTCGATTCCCCCCGGGTGCGCTTTCGCATCCTTAGCAGCTCCAGCGGCACATCGCCAGCATCACCTGCATCATCCGCATCAGCGCCTGCCAAGGATGCGGATGATGCAAGTGATGCTGGGGATGTTGCCCATGCTGGTGAAGGAAATGAAGGGGGGAAAGGGGGAAAGGATCTCAACAGCGAAAGGGGGGGGAAAGATCTCAGGGAGGAAAGGGAGAAGATCTGGGGAAAAAATGCCTTAAGGGGGAAAGGGGGGAAAAGATCTTTGGGAGGAAAAGGGAAATCTTTCTCGGGGGGAACAGGCCCTAAGGGGCAATGGGGGGACAGGATCTCAAACGGGAAAGGGGAAAAAGACTTTGGGAAGAGAAGGGTGGAGATCTTGGGGGGAAAAGGCCTTAGGGGGGAAACGGGGGAAAGGATCTTAAGCCGGAAAGGGGGGAAAAGATCTTAGGGAGGCAAAGGGAGACAAACTCAGGGAAAAGGACTTAGGGAGGAAAGGGGGGGAAAGATCTTTGGGAGGAAAAGGGAGAAGAACTGAGGGTGGGAAAAGGCCTTAGAAGGAAAAGGGGGGAAATAAATGATCTCAACAGGGAACGGGGGGGGGGGGGGAAAGATCTTAGGGAGGAACGGCAAAAGATCTGGGGCAAAAAGGCCTTAGGGGGGAAAGGGGAGAAATGATCTCAACAGGGAAAGGGGTGGAAAAGATCTTAGGGAGGAAAGGGAGAAGATCTGGGGAAAAAAGGCCAACAGGGAAAGGGGGGAAAAGATCTTAGGAAGGAAAAGGGAGAAGCTCTCAGGGGGGGAAAGGCCTTGGGAGGGAAAGGGGGGAAAGGATCTCAAAGGGAAAGAGAAGCTCTCAGGGGGGGAAAGGCCTTGGGAGGGAAAGGGGAAAAAAGATCTCAACAGGGAAAGGGTGGGAAAGATCTTAGGGAGGAAAGGGGGGGGAAATCTTAGGGAGGAAAGGGAGAAGATCTGGGAGAAAAGGACTTAGGGGGGAAAGCCCAACAGGGAAAGGGGGGAAAAGATTTAGGAAGGAAAAGGGAGAAGCTCTCAGGTCTCAGCAGGAAAGGGGGGGGGAAAGATCTTAGGGAGGAAAGGGAGAAGATCTGGGGACAAAGGCCTTAGGGGGGAAATGATCTCAACAGGGAAAGGGGTGGAAAAGATCTTAGGGAGGAAAGGGAGAAGATCTGGGGGAAAAAAGGCCAACAGGGAAAGGGGGGAAAGATCTAAGGAAGGAAAAGGGAGAAGCTCTCAGGGGGGGGAAAGGCCTGAGGGGGGAAAGGGTGGGAAGGATCTCAACAGGGAAAGGGGGGAAACAATCTTAGGAAGGAAAAGGGAGAAGATCTGGAAAGGCCTTAAAGGGAAGGGGGGAAAGGATCTCAACGGGGAAAGGGGGCAAAGGATCTTAAGGAGGAATAGGGAGAAGATCTCAGCGGGGGGAAAGGCCTTAGGAAGGAAAGGAGGGAAAGGATCTCAACAGGGAAAGGGGGGGAAAGATCTCAGTGAGGAAAGGGAAAAGATCCCAGGCAGGGAAAAGGCCTTAGGGGGGAAAGGGGGAAAGGATCTCAACAGGGAAAGGGGGCAAAGGATCTTAGGGAGGAAAAGGGAGAAGATCTGAAAAGGCCTTAGGGGGAAAAGGGGGAAAGGAGCTCGAAAGGATCCTAGGAAGGAAAAGGGAGAAGATCTTGGGGGGAAAGGGGGAAAGGATCTCAACCAAGGGAAAAGATCTTGGGGAGGACAAGGGAGAAGATTTCCGGGGGGGGAAAGGGGGAAGATCGCGGGGGAAAAAAGGCCTTAGGGGCGAAAGGAGGGAAAGGATCTCAACAGGGAGAGGGGGGAAAACATCGTAGGGAGGAAAAGGGAAAAACTCAGAGGGAGAAAGGGCCTTAGGGGGGAAAGGGGGAATGGATCTCAACAGGGAAAATGGCAAAAGATCTTAGGGAGGCAAAGGGACAAGATCTCAGGAGGGGAAAGGCCTTAGGGGGGAAAGGGGGGAAAGGATCTGAGCAGGGAAAGGGGGGGAAATGGAGAAGATCTGGGGGCAAAGGCCTTAGGGGGGAAAGGGGAGAAATGATCTCAACAGGGAAAGGGGTGGAAAAGATCTTAGGGAGGAAAGGGAGAAGATAGGGGGGAAAGATCTAAGGAAGGAGAAGCTCTCAGGGGGGGGAGGGAAAGGCCTCAGGGGGAAAGGGTGGGAAGGATCTCAACAGGGAAAGGAGGGAAACAATCTTAGGAGGGGGGGGAAGATCTTAGGGAGGAAAGGGAGAAGATCTGGGAGAAAAGGACTTAGGGGGGAAAGCCCAACAGGGAAAGGGGGGAAAAGACCTTATGAAGGAAAAGGGAGAAGCTCTCAGGGGGGGGAAAGGCCTTGGGAGGGAAAGGGGGGAAAGGATCTCAACAGGGAAAGGGTGGGAAAGATCTTAGGGAGGAAGGGGGGAAGATCTTAGGGAGGAAAGGGAGAAGATCTGGGAGAAAAGGACTTAGGAGAGAAAAGCCTAACAGGGAAAGGTGGAAAAGATCTTCGGAAGGAAAAGGGAGAAGCTCTCGCGGGGGGGGGAAAGGCCTTAGGGGGGAAAGGGGGAACAGGATCTCAGCAGGGAAAGGGGGGGGGGGAAAGATCTTAGGGAGGAAAGGGGGAAGATCTGGGGACAAAAGGCCTTAGAGGGGAAAGGGGGGAAATGATCTCAGGAAAGGGAGAAGATCTGGGGGAAAAAAGGCCAACAGGGAAAGGGGGGAAAGATCTAAGGAAGGAACAGGGAGAAGCTCTCAGGGGGGAAAGGCCTTAGGCGGGAAAGGGTGGGAAGGATCTCAACAGGGAAAGGGGGGAAACAATCTTAGGAAGGAAAAGGGAAAAGATCTGGAAAGCCTTAAAGGGAAGAAGGGAAAGGATCTCAACGGGGAAAGGAGGCAAAGGATCTTAAGGAGGAATAGGGAGAAGATCTCAGCGTGGGGAAGGATCTCAACAGGGAAAGGGGGGGAAAGATCTCCGTGAGGAAAGGGAGAAGGTCCCAGGCAGGGAAAGAGGCCTTAGGCGGGAAAGGGGGAAGGGGGGGGGGAGAAAAGGGAGAAGATCTGAAAAGGCCTTAGGGGGAAAACGGGGAAAGGAGCTCAACAGGGAAAGGTGGGAGAAGATCCTAGGGAGGAAAAGGGAGAAGATCTCGGGGGGAAAGGGGGAAAGGATCTCAACCAAGGGAAAAGATCTTGGGGAGGACAAGGGAGAAGATCTCAGGGGGGGAAAGGCCTTAGGGGGGAAAGGGGGGAAAGGATCTCAACAGGGAAAGGGGGCAAAGGATCTTAGGGAGGAAAAGGGTGAAGATCTTGGAGGGGAAAACGCCTTACGGGGGAAAGGGCGGGAAAGGATCTCAACAAGGAAAGGGGGGAAAAGACCTTAGGAAGGAAAAGGGGGAAGATCGCGGGGGGAAAAAAGGCCTTAGGGGGGAAAGGGGGGAAAGGATCTCAACAAAGAGAGGGGGGAAAACATCGTAGGGAGGAAAAAGGAAAAACTCACAAAAAGAAAGGGCCTCAGGGCGGAAAGGGGGAATGGATCTCAACAGGGAAAAAATGCAAAAGATCTTAGGGAGGAAAAGGGAGAAGATCTCAGGGGGGGGGAAAGGCCTTAGGGGGGAAAGGGGGGAAAGGA